CCTGAAAGATTACAGGAAGCTGAAGGTCTTGCGCCTCCGCAACATTGAGGTGGGTGAAGCAGAGGCCGAGGAGTTCTGCAAGGCGGGGCTTGCTGGTGCCGCGAGGGCGCTTGTCTTGGAAAAACCTGTTTTCAGGCACTTGGGCTGAACGACACAATCACAAAGCTGGAGATCCGAGTCGCTGAATCCCATCTAGAACGGTGTTCGGCTTTGTGGAAGGCACGAGCTTTCACGGTGACAGAGATGCGGTAGCTTGCTCCCGGCCCCGTTGCTCCCCTGAGAGGCACTCGCAGATGCTCTGAAATCCAACAAGACCGTCACCCACATCGACCTCAGTAACAACTGGATCGGAGACGAGGACGCCGAGGCCAGGGCGCTGCCCGCGGGGGTCTTCGCAGCTTGCAATTTCGACCCCGCTTGTCCCTGAGAGGCGCTCGCAGATGCCTTGAAGTCCAACAGTACAGTCACCCACGTCATCCTCGATTACAACTACATCGGAGCCGAGGGCAGAAAGGCCGGGGTGTTGGCAGCTTGCAGTTTCGACCCCGCTTGTCTTCTGAGAGGCACTCGCAGATGCCGTGGAGTCCAACCGCACCGTCACCGTCAAGCTCAACCGCCACCTGCTCGGAGGCAAGGGCGCCGAGGCCGGGGCTCTCGGGGTTCCAGCCCTGAAGTCACCCGCGGAATTGTCACCTCGCATGGAAGCAGAGATGAGAAGGTTCCTCGGGCCGTGGGGCAACCGAAGCTTCGGCGAGCTTGTGGCTCGATCTGAATGAAAGTTGCTGCCAGGACAACGAAGAATCGGCGAAGCACTCTGCAGATGGAACGAAGTTTGAGGTGTCCCAGGTCGGGGCCCTAGCAGCCCTAGCATCCTCCAAATTGCGGGGTCCTGCATAGTGTTCCTGATGCTTTGTTGTGTGCATCGTGCGCCCGGGTCTACGACATACGGATCTTCAGCACCTCCGGAACTCCGAAGGCTCTTGCCGGAACTGGTTTACAAACGAGGCAGAGACCTTGGAGGGCACATCAGCCGGGGCGAGGTGGCCGAGTAGGGACCTGAATCTGTGTTGCACACTGCGTGCCCGTTGGCCTTTGCTGGTTGGGTCCCAGCGATGAGGTCTCGATGTGTTTATACACTGACGTCCATCGCTGATTGCAAGTGCTTGGTTCCTCTGGAGAGCATCTGCTGCCTGAGTACCCTTCGTGGGGCAGGTTGACTGATCCCCACAAAAAACGAAACAACAACCCGTTAAACATGAGACGGTGGTCTGTGGGGGGGAGGGGGCGGGGCAGGACGGCAGGACTGCACTGTCAGAGCCGCAAATGATCCTTCCCCCAACCATGCTTAGCGGAGCTCCGCCGAGGCTTGGACGGGGAAAGTGCGCATCGAGGACTGCTGTGCCGTTCTCCGGGCAGAGTCCGACGTGCTTAGATGCACTGTGGTTCCCGTGCCAGGGCCTCGCGGCTCAGCTGGCGTACAACAGCGGCACCACCCGTCTAGAACTCATAGACCAGGGCATCACAGCGGAGGACTGCCAGGCGCGGTGCCCACAGGGGACATTGCAGCCTTAGACCGGTATGCTTGCAGTTGACGATCAGCCGCACATTCAACGAAATCGAGAATTAATGTCTTTGTGTGGCTTGAGTCCCGTCGCGAGGCTCTGACAAATGTTCCAAATGTTCTGACGAATTCGGATGTAATTTGCAGTCACCTACTCGTACACCAACTGCGCTAGAAACCCAGCCGGAGACGATGAGCCCGGCACGGGGTTTCCGCTGAGAGGCACTCGCAGATGCCTTGAAGCGCAACTGTATGGTCACCCACGTCGACCTCCGTTACAACAAGATCGGGGACGAGGGCGCCAAGGCCAGGGGGTGCCCACGGGGTCTTCGCAGCTTGCAATTTCGACCCCGCGTTTGCAGGGAGAGGCGCTCGCAGATGCTCTGAAATCAAACAAGACCGTCACCGACATCAACCTCAATAGAAACAACATCGAAGTCGAGGGCACCAAGGCCAGGGGGTGCCCACGGGGTCTTTGCAGCTTGCAATTTCGACCCCGCGTTTCTTGTGAGAGGCACTCGCAGATGCCTTGAAGCGCAACTGTATGGTCACCCACGTCGACCTCGGTGACAACGAGATCGGGGTCGACGGCGCCAAGGCCAGGCGGTCCCCTCGGGGTCTTCGCAGCTTGCAGTTTCGACCCTGCGTTTGTTGTGAGAGGCACTGGCAGATGCCTTGAAGTCCAACTGTACGGCCACCCACGTCGACCTCCGTTACAACAACATCGGGGACGAGGGCGCCAAGGCCAGGCAGTGCCCGCGGGGTGTTTGCAGCTTGCAATTTCGACAACCGCTTTCCTGTGAGAGGCACTCGAAGATGTTCGGAAGTTCAACAATGTCGTCGTCGTCAGGATGTGATTGAGGCCAGCAGTTTGGTGCATCAGTCAATGCTGCGGAGCACAGAGAGTAACACAAAAGAACAGGCTCGTTTGTTTTCCATACTCCGTTCAGCGATGCACCAATAGTGGCCGCCAGGGCCTGAATCTAGTAACAGCATCATATCATAATATAAAATTTCTATTATAGTACTATTCTAATGGTACTAGTATATCAGTCTGTCAGTATATGTAATGATGAAGTACCCAGAAGCCGTAGGCCAACACTGAACCATGCAATGTCAATTTCTTAAACCACTGTCGAAATATTCAGGTCCCGATCTGATCTTGGGGCAAGGCCCACACCGCTAGGTCTTTGCCATACAAGGTTTCTCCCTGATCCCAGAGAAGTTTCGCGCCAGAAGCTCTGGAAAGTCGGTCTCGTTGAGAATCCGATTGCAGCTTCCGCTGAGAGACTACACGGCCAAAAATCTCAACACTACCGGCTTCCGCATCGCTCTCGCCTTGTAAACTTAACCCTGAAAGCCCTTTACGCCAGCTCCGCCAATTCGTGACATTGCTGGCGAGTCATTTCTGCATCATGGCGGCTTCTCAAGACAACGCTGCCTAGTGTGCGAGGCGGAAGCGAGAAAGGGACTGTTTTGGCCGTTCAATGTAGGAGACTACTGGAGACTATAGATACCATGTGCGGGGTGGCTCTTGCATTAAGCCTATATACTTCTTGTTACAGTTATGGTACGATGTTATGATCCACCTCTCGAGGTTTGGGTCGGGGTTGAGGGTAGATCTCGAGCTCCCAGTTTCACTCGTAGCCCGTCGCAGCCAGACCAGAAGTACCAGGATGCGGCCGCCCCAGTGTGGCAGATGGGTTTTGGGGTCTTTCAAACCCAGCAAAACTCACGATATTTCCCTAGACCGTCATCCTGCCGACTGAACGCAGCAACCTGTACTTCGTAATTCACGCTGCGCATTGAGTGATGCGACGCCCGTGCCACCCAAAAGAGCTCGTGTGCAAGTAGGGTTGAGGGTTTCGAGCTCTGAATGAGATTCCTAAATCCTAACTAAACCCTGAACTTTAATCTTTAAGCCCGATTCGCCCCCTAAGCCGGTGTTCCCTTACAGGAGCGCTGAGAAGCCCAGAAGCCCGGACCTCCCCTACCTGCAGCCCTGACAGGGTGTCGGTCCCTGAAAAAGCTACCGGGGCTTTGGGGCCACCGGCTTCGGGTTAAGGGCTCTTAGGGGTTATAGGGGCCTTTTCCTCATTGAGGGTTTTTGGGGCTTGACTTCCGGCAATTGGGGCGTTAGAGTTCAGGTTTAAGGCTTTGGGTCAATTTTGGGCAGTCGGGTTTCAGGGAAACAAAGCATGTGCTGTCCCTCAAAAATCTTACCACTGGCTCCTAGAGCCCTGAGCCCCGTGCTTTCAGCAATGTCCAACTTCCCAACACTCCGCCGGCTCAAAAGCTCTGAGTAAAAGAAAGTATCGGTGCTGTGCTCTGAGCGTTTCCCACTCTTCGCTGCGACACGAAGCCATGGCCCGGCAGCTGGAGCAGGCCACCTCTCCGTAGAGTTGGGTTGTGGGGTTTAGGGTTTCGGGTTCAGGGTTCACAGTTTAGGTTGGTGTTTTGACCTTCGATTTTGCTTTAGGTTTGGGGTTTACTTCGGTTTTGGGCTTTGGGGAGCGGGACCGTGCCCTTCTTGAGATAGTTTTCGCTCCGGAGCACCCAACCTTTTTGATTCAGCGGCTTTGTTCCCGGCTCCCTACTACAATCATTGCTTAAGCACCCCTAATGCTTCTTTACTGCACTAATGCCCCGCCCTCACCCGACCCCATCGCTTGACAAACATCCCTTAATGGAACAACAGCATCACAGCAGGGTTTAGGGTTTAGCGATTGCGCCGCATGGAAGTTGTTCAGCATATCGTTTTCAGCAAAGAGGCAGAAGATAGGCTCCCTTTTTGAGTGAGGATCTCCTGACAAGGACCTGTATTCCCAATGGTCCCTCCATCCCTGAAGCTTTTCGAGATGCCTCAGAGGCGCTTTCACGGTTGCAACACACCCCCAGACCAACACAGGAGATCTATGACATGGAGTCAATGTCGGAGACGCACACCGTGCTGAGGGGAGAGCAGAAAGAGCCGCATCCCCAGCGTTGTGGTGTTGCAGGGTTCAGAACTGTAAGTGTAGACGCAAGCCCCTGCGTTCGAAAGCTAAACTCCACAGAGGCATAAATCCGAAGGCTATAACTCCTTACATCCCGAGCCAGAAAAGCCAAGGACCCACTGGTGCCACGACTTAGGGCTTTGAGGGTTCGCGTTTTCGGGTTGTTACATTCAGGTTGGGACTTCGTCCGTCCTTGCGTGTTCGAGCGCGTTTCTGTCTTTGCCTTCAAACCCCCTAAGCCCTAAACCTCCTCGGGGCCCTGAGCAAGGGCCGTTCTTGAAAAAATGCTGCTTGATCTTTGTATGGCTTCACTTCTTTCTGGCCGGGTGTATACTAGTTTTTTGGAGAGAAAGACATGCATACTTAAAGGATCATGGGACTTAGGAGGGTATGAGCAGCTTCTAGCCCCAATCAATAAGTACTTATAATCATACGTTTACAACTACCAAATACACATCTTCTCATAGATGCTACAGAAGTCCAAAGCCTTCCCTAAACCTTATAAAACCTATAAACCCTACACCCTAAACCCTACACCCTAAACCGTAAACCTTAAACCCTAAACCCTAATGCTTCGAAAGCTGATAAAACCCCATTGAGCATCAGCTCTGCACCTGAAGCCCACTTGCCAGGACTTCCCCTGTGTGCCGGTTTAGGGCTTTCGGGTTTCGGGGGTTTGGGGTTCAGAGGTTTAGGGTTTAGGGTTCAGCGGTTTGCGGGTTTCGGGGGGTTTGGGCCCCCAAGACCCCCCATGATCAACTTCCCAAGCCATCATGCTAAGTTGACTGCCCGAGTTCAGCAGAGCTCGGTCTTAGCCTTCGGCGCACACGAAGCCCCCCAAAAGCTTAAATCCAACCGTCTTCAATCAAAGCGAAGCTCTGAGGCAAAGCAGATGGTCGAGGACCGACTGGGGTCCAGGTTGTGCTGCGTAGTGCCGATACCCAAGGGGTCTGAAGAATCATAAACACTGCCCCCCCAAACATTTCGCGTTTCGGGTTTCCGGTTTCGGGGCCCTGCCTTCTTCTGAAGATGGGAAACTCTGGATCAGGGTTTGGTAGGCAGGCTCGTGACTGAGGATTGCCAACTAAGGCTTAACATCGCAGCCTCCACAAAGGCCCGTAGCCCCAAAGCATCCAACACGGCCTACAGCCCGAAGCTCTAACCCTGAAGATCCCAAGCCCTATAAACCCGAAGCCCCCTAAACCCTAAACCCTATACCCTGAAGATCCTAAGCCCTAAACCCTAAACCCTATACCCCAAAAACCCTAAACCCTAAACCCTGAAGACCTAAGCCCTATAAACCCGAAGCCTTCAACCCTGTCGCCGGGCCGGGGCTCCCCGTGCTTTTTTTTTTAAAGGGGGCTTTCGGCCGTGGGTGAGGGTCTCAGGTCTGGGGTTTTGGGATTTGGGGGTTTCTCTGGGCGGTTTTTTTCAGGGCATTCGGATGTTGGGTTTGGGATAGTGGGAGGGCGGGGGTGCTTTGGGTTGTGAGTTCGGGGCTTCGCACATACCCCGTCTGACATTCTTTAGGCTTATGGGTTTAGGTTGTTCAGCTTGGGGTGCTGGCATAGCACGGTTTGCGCAGAGGGCTCAATGCCCATCCATTCAAGGAAAAGTCTTAAGCGACATAGGTTTCTTCCAAAGACTTGCGGCTGACGATTTTTTGATTTTAGGGTTCCACGGTGAGACGCGACCGGCAAACGCCTAAATCACTCGCTTCTTCTTGGCAGGACGGTGCTGTTTGGCCTGGGCTTGCTGGGCTGTTGGCGCGGCAGTGGCCAGGAACTGCGGGGGTTTTGGGTCTCCTTTCCGGGTTCTGCAAGGGGTGCAAGAGGTATGTCACGGTTTTGTTATGGATTTTCCAGAGATTCTTCAGAGTTTGACTTAAAGCCGCTGCTGCAGCTGCTCGCTCTGCCGTTCGTGGGCTAGTGTGGAGGAAATACCAATATGAGGTTCCTGTAGTTTTGAAGCGGGGGTTTGCTGTAGGTTTTATAAGGGGTTACTGCTCCTAAACCGTAAACCCTAAATCCTAAACCGTGGGTTTATGAAGGTTTTGAGACCAAAAACCCTCTTAGCCCTATGACCCAACCTGAACCTTACCAGGCTAATTCCGAAACCCCTACCCTCAGAGTTACGGGGATGCGTGCTAACCCAGGAGTCGATGGCTGCAGCATTTCACCTCCGAAGACACTGAGGACCACTACACTTGCCTCGCGGCTGATGGGTTGGGGGCTCTTTGGGGTGTCGGGGGCTCGCTGAAAGGTATCTATTTCGATGGTGCTGAGGGGGTATCAGAACCCAGGGTTTGGGGCCACACTGTACTACAATTGGAAGAGCGATGCAAGGGAATTTAGGATTGTGACTACTTCCGACCCTTGCAGTATCCCTAACAGCCCAAATGCTGCCACCCCCATTGCAGACACGTCGCAAGCCATGTCACGTTGACCCTAGAACCGAAGCCCAGATTCCAAAACCCGAGAACTTGCTTACGGCTCACGACGCCTTGGCAGCTGTTGTCCAAGTCTACCCAGTATCCCTGCACATCCCGTATACCCGGTTAGAATCATCCCCGGGAGCCGCACCAATCCTGAATTGATGGTCAGAAGATCACCCAAGGAAGCCCCAATCCCCACACCTCACGCCCCTTATGCCCCAAACCGGCGATTTAGCATAATCTAGGATTCTTGATTGCCGTCCAGTTTTCTGCCGAGGCTACCACCCGCTTAACATGCAGGTGCGCTGCTTGAAACTGGCCTGCACTGGCCAAAGCAGTTAGTATCGCCATGTAGTACACAAGCAGAAGCCACAAGTAGCACAGTCAAAAGTAAACATAATAAGTAAGGGAGCGCAAAGGACATACACCAT